CCCCCCCGTCCCCAGCTCACCTTCCTGTTCCCCACGGTGGGCTCCCCAAACAGAAAGTGGGCTGCCTCAGGGGGCAGAGGGGGTGACGGTGTGGAGAGAGAGGACTGGTCGCTGCCCAGTTCCCAGCCCCAGTCCCCGCTGTGACTGCTGCTGTAGCTGCCCGGCGGCTGCACCGACACCCCCTTCCAGGGCTCCAAGCCGGGCTCTGTGGGGACATGCCACCCTCAGGGCCTCGGGACACTGTGGCCTGCTGGCTTCCGCCCTGGCTCTGAGCTGAACCTGCCCCGTGCCCAGGTGGGCCGTGGGCAGAGCCTGTCAGGGGAGCTGGCCCAGGGGCCCGGGAAAGTCTTTGAAGCAGCATAGGGCATGGAGGGCTTGCAGGGTAGGGATGCTTGAGGGGCCAGGAGGGTGGGCTGGGGGACAGTTCCAGAGGCCCAGAACTGCCACTCTGGTTGCAGCGAGGGACCCTGAGGGTCTGGACACCCACTTTAGAAAGGGCTCAAGAGGCAAGGCTGGAAGTTGGCACCCCAGGTCTCCCCCAGAGGGCGAGTGGCTGCAGGGCTCTGTGGGACAGCAGCCAGGGCTGTCCCACCCATGCCAGAGCACATACCCGCTCACCTGGGCTGGAGGCTGCAGCCGTGGCCCCCAGCAAGAGGGGGCTGGTGGACCGGCTGGGGCTGGGGTGGCCATGACCTCCTCCAGCCGGGCTTTTCCCGGGGTGGCTCTGGAGGAGACAGGGTGTGGGTGTGGCCCTGCGTGCATGTGCAGGCCTGGGCACGTGTGTGCACAGGCAGCCGGTCCCCTGGCGCTGGATGGCAGACCTGGCTCCACCCGCCAGTCAGGACACGGGCCAGGTCTCTCAAGCCTGAGCTCTCCTGAGCTCTCCACGGCCCCTGCTTTGTTCCGCCAAGGCTCCTTCATAGCCTTGGGCTGGGCGGGGGTCTGCGGCCCCGGGAGGGCCCCGGTCATGCTGGGTCCAGCCACACGGTCACAGGTTGACCACAGCTGTGCAACCCGGGCGGGAGGCGGAGTGCTCGCCAGTCGGCGGCTGCAGGGGGGCTGGGCCGGAAGGGGCCCCTGCCCGCGCTGCCTGCACGGTGTGCAGAGGCGGGGAGGTGGCGGTCACGAGCTCCAGGGATTCTTGGACAGTGGGCCCCAGGCCGACCCAACTGCCTCTTCTGCGCACGCTCCGGCCGCCAGGTGCTGGGGAGACCCCAGGCCCAAACACACCGATTCCTTCGGTTCCCTTTTCTAGGGCTAGAGGGCTGGTACGGGCGGTCAGAACCTGGTTCCGGACCCTGACTTACTCCGCCGGGACTTCCCGAGAGGAGGGCCAGGAGACACGTCCCTGTGCTCCACCCCGCCCGGTAAACACCGACACACGTGTGCGCACGCCCACCTAGTCCCGGAGCACCGGCCTCCGGCTCACCTCTGCGCTGGCACCGGGATGTGCACCGACGGCGTCGGGAGCCTCGCTGCCACCCCCGCCCACGTCCCCGGGGCTCTTAGGTCCGCAGCCCCCGGCTCCGGTTCCTGCGGCAGTGCGAACTCCAGGCCCGCGAAGCTGCCGCCCACGGGAGGGCCCTGTGGATAGGGCAGGCTCAGGCGAGGCGGCGGCCCGGGGGCCTCCGGCCTCCACCCGGATCCACTTCGCGCCGGTCCCCCAGGCCGGCTGCG